TTGAAGCGTAGTTAAAACCTTGTTACATCTTAAGGTACACCTCAAAATTTTCATTTTTAGGAATGCCAAAGTAATGCTAGCTTTCTTCGTTTTATTGTTCTTGTTGGTAATGTCTCCGCACTTGAATATTGTTTGCAAGATATGGCTTTTCTGTTTAGCAACCCCTAATCCGCCAAAAGAAAGTCTCCCAACATGGGCTTCTCTTACTCGCCATTCAACCACTTCTGGCCCGGGAACTCCTGCATCAACACCAAAGTATCTTCCCAGGCCTATGAAACATATCAGTCCAGCTAGGTGGGTACAGTTGGATGGAAAAATTGATGTGAGGATCTACTCTTTTTTTTACATCATTATCGTTGCAGCGAAGCTGAACTGGAAAGAGCTGGATTTGATCCAATAGAGGGGTCGTCGTTACGGTATCCCGCTGATGAATATCTTCGGCAGTATGAAGTATACCTAAAAAACATTTGCCGCTACTTAAACGGGACATGAAATATATTTTTTTCAGATAGAAATCGTTAAATCCTGTATCGCTCTGAATTCTACTGTTTCGTTACCTTTGGCCGTATCAGCCGACCATATCTGTGCCGTTGTGATAGTGAACTTTTTGAGGTTGGTTTTTTCTCTTTTCCATATTCTCTGGCATCTTTTCTTTTGATGTTCTCTGACATTCACATCTGATTCATATAAGAGTCTATTGCAAGCTGGCTGTTAGTATTATTGAAAGCTTCCAAATTTGTGGAGAACATATACAATGTGAATATACCTGCATTTGGTTTTTTTAATGTAATGTGTTATGATCAACTTTTTTTATTATATATTTTATATATATATATATGCATATATTTTAAATATATATATTATATATTTTTTATTTTATTATATATTTTGTTATATTATGTTATTTCCTTGCTTTCCTTTCATACCCCTTGTTTTTCACTCAGTGCTTTTTTGCTCTCTTGTTCTCATTCAAGCCTTACTTACTCTCCCCAGGCAAGATCTTTCACTTGCCATCACTATTTCACGATTGTACTTCCATCTTGAATTGCTTTACAATGTCTGTTGACTGTATGCTAAGGGAAAATCCTTATTTCCGTAACCGTGTTTACAACTCAATTATTCACAATTAGGTGGTTCCCAAGAAGTCGTGCGATATTTTGCTGCAACTCATTGGAAGCAGCCGAAATCTTTTGCGAACGTAGCGTTGCTGTTGGAATTGCAGCCGAAGAGGTTTATTCATGAATTGTTAATGTCTGTAACAAGGCTTGCTCCTTATAGCAACCGATTCACCTAGATCTCTACTATAGACACATTCCAAACCTTCAAGAAAATTTCAACGCATAAGGTTGGTCGAGTGATTCTAACAACCCCACAGGTAAACTGTTGATTTTCTAAACGAACTCCTCCTTTCCAGACGTTGTTCTCTCCTCCTAGATTTTCATGCATGCTTATGAAATCTTTTACTTGCTTAAGGCTTTCGAAAAGATTGTGGAGTCGGGCTCCACAGTGGTTGAAGATATCCGTTGTGTTGTGTTCTGCTTAGATGCATCTGAAAACCTGCGATTTACCAAGTACAAGAATATTGTAGGATCTTTAACAGTGAAAGGAGTAAGCTGCTTTTACAATATTTTAATCTGTCCACAGAATTATAGTCTAGATACTTTTCCGTGTGATTCTGGTAACTCCATCGGTCCCCTCAATGTCGAGAAAAATTGGTCCATTGAGAAAGAGGCAACAGCTGATTACGTCGTTATTAATATCCCAATGGATTGAACCTCCCGCTTCGGATTCCTCGTTCAGGTAAGATTTGCCATGATTTTAATAGGAACGCAATGTTAGCTTATGAATTTGAGTTGCACAAGCACGCGAGAACGGAAACTAGCTTAAATCTTTTAAAATGCAGTAGCGAGTGTTGTGTAACGATAAATCAATATTTTTTTCATATACCTTGAGATCGGTTCTTTTCCGTAAGGCTGTTGATTTCTGTTTTCAGAAAAGATTCTGTTCCGTTAGGATTATCCACTGAATATTGTGGCAATATAGAAGTTTTGTCCGAGACACGATCTTTCATTGAGAAATGGCTAGAGGTCAGTCGCATGATGGTTAAACTGGTTGTTCATGACTCAGTTTGAATTCATGCTGTCCCACTAAATCATTTCACCAGCAAAAGAAAAAATTTTCCACACGATTATCATTATCATTAAGCCTTTTTCACTTTTTACATTTTCTAATGATAAATTATTAACTGTTTCAAAGATAAAAGTTTAGTGAAGGGGATCATAGATTTTCTGCAATCATAATTTCACTATTTTTCACATGACTAATACTCTTTTTGTTTATTCAGAGAAGTACAAATTATTTGGAAAAACTGCATGCATTTATTCCATTGCCCTCTACAAGGCCAGAGCACCTCTTCACGCTGGACTGGGGTCAAATAGCTTTGGTAAAGACGCTTTGCTTGAAAACTCACCATATTTTGTGAACTACTTAAGTTAGTGATCTTTGCAGAAGGCGAAGTCATCAACAGATGAAACTATACAACTTGTCGTTAACTGCATGTTTTTGGTAGAAGCCGCTAGAAACTTGATTATTAATGGTCCACGCGTATATCTCTTATATTGCATTGGTAAGTTGAAACATTATTTTCCACATAGCTTTGATCTATACTTATTCCAGATCTGTTTGGAAAAGCTGAGAAAGATTCCCGTGCCGGTAACATACAACTTATGATTCTTAGTGATACATTGTTATCGAAGATCTATCAAACGATACAGGCAAAGTACTCTTACAACATGGGTAATTGATGTGATTCAAAAAGATTACATTTTTATTCCTTTCCTTTTATACTTGGAATAACTTATGAGCTAGTGCTTCCTCAAATGCATCTCAAAGCAAAATTTTAAAGTGGAGTTTTTCGAATTTTTTGGTCTCTTTATTGAACACAAGTACAGATTTCAGTTAGCTTGAAAAGTCGAAATAAAAATAGTGATTTCTGGCTCCTTATGGATTGAAACGAAGTGGCAGCAGTTTCTGCTCTCAGTAAATTTCTCGCGAGAAAGGCGACCGATTGTTTCAGGG